ATGTACGTGTATTATCATGTACTTACTTCTTTCATGAACGCAGAAAACATGGATTGTGAAAAGTTGATGGCTATTACGGACACGATGATATACGTACTGCCGAAAATGACTGCTGTAATATTTGCGTAACGCGAAACGCAACGGACGGATCCGCCGTTTAAGGGGAAAGTTTTGGGGGCCTCACGGTAGACGCGATTTAGCGAGCAAAGAGAAAGTTCCGCCAATTGAATTTGAATCTTGGAACAAATTGAAAAAAATCATCACAGTTTGGTGTGAAAGACGCGATCGTTTGCGTTGTGAAAACCAAAAGTTAAAGGAATATTCACACGTTTGTTTCATCACACAGTTGACAAGAAGACATTCGAACGCAATGATGAAAGAATAGCAACGTGAGCGCACGATTTTCCATTATCGGTAAACGTAAAGCATTATTGTAATATGTGCATGATATGTTTGTAATATAAATTTCATTTCTTGTTTAATAATATAAATTTCATTTCTAATGTAGTTGAAACGAATTGTTTCGGATTCGATCAATGTGAATCTTATTGATAAGAACATTCCAAGACGGAAATATAGTTTATTGATTAATGTTAAGACATTTATACAATAATTATTGATAAATTAGCAGCACGGAATATATGAAAAAAAATAATAAAATTGTCGCGTTGTAGATTACAAGTACAGATATTTTATTCTGACACATAGAAATAAAGATTCCACAATAAAGATTCCTGGAGAAACACAGCTCTAAAATATTAACAGATATATTTAACTGAGCGCATTCACATTAAGAATAATAACTTATAAATATACCTGACGATATATATATGGGATTGTTCAAGTTCAAAAAGAAATACGGAACTATATAAAATCAGTCGATTCACAGAAAAATTCGGCAGCTCAGAGTTACGTATATGAATAAAAAAGAACATACACAACACATTCTTGTATATTAATTAAAAACTTATTATAATTTGATTCAGTGTTCTAATATCGCATATGTTTGCTAAATGTTTTAACTGATTGTCCGTTAAATTGAAAAGTTGAAAGAACGAGATATCGACAAAAGTCGACTAAACAAATGTTTGTACATTTTACTTACATGAAAATAACAATGAAATATTAATTTCAACGGATATGACACAGTCACACGGAAACTCATCAAATCTACATCGAATGAACTATATACAAATAAACATTCGTGAGGTACAGAGATATAGGGCGTCCTGAATCGAACTGTTAACACGTTAAATTTGTACATGTTACATATTTATTTAACAGCGAGATTTTGTAACCTGGAGCCGACGGCGTTGGTGATCTGTTCCTTATCTACATCCGTGAGCTTTCCATTGTTAGCCGGGGCTTGACCCAATCTGGCGCACGCCTTCTTATGCATGAACCAGTGCAATCTTTGGCATTCTCTGTCGCAATATTGCACCGCCTTGCATTTGCTACATTTCTTCGTAGCCTTGTCTTCGCCACAAGTCACACAAGTCTGAGCATTATCGAAGAAGCCTCGTTGCCCATTAATCGCAGCAGAAATCACGGAAACGGCGGACGGCGGATCTGTGCTCGCTAATGTGGCGACCATCTGACGGAAAATTGTGCTTTCTCTGAACGGAAACTCTCTCACAGATTCCCGTAAAAATGCCTCCTGATATTCCGGCAGACCGTCATTCTTGCTGCACTTCAGAAATCTTCGTATCAAGAGTTCTACCGTATCCGATTTTTTCTCCTCGGTATCTGATTTCTTTTCCTCGCTCTCCTCATTCCCTTTTTCACTTTTTTCTGCCTTCATAGCCTCTTGGCGCTTTTGACATTTTAACACTTCGGCCACAACGCAACTGAGATAATGATACTTGAAAGCCATTACTTCATTTATCTCAGCGCCTCGCGTCATTTCTTTGTAGCGCATGGATTCTAATACTTTTTGTACCTAAAAAAAATAAAGAGGTATTAATACGTAATACAAATATTTGTTTTTAAATGGATTCAATAATAGCGTTCAACTTTTTCTTCTATATATGGTCTTACTTTTGCCGCGTTTTCCAAAAGTGCTGGAAGTCTCTGCAAATTCATGCACACACGTACAGGATGCACGTTGACATGCATTATAAATTTATGAAAATAATCGGCTAGATATGGTGGCAGCATGGGCTCGGTCTGTAAACCCTGTGGCTTAATATAATAATCTATATCAGCCTTCGGAATGAAATTATTAATCGTCGCCACACAGTTGTGATTTCCCACAAACGCTGCCATTTGCGCGGCTGTCCTGCCAACACTGTTTGTCGCCGTCAAGCGTGCTCCGTGCGACATCAGAAGGTGACATAGTTCGGCATTTCCACTTAGAGCAGCGAAATGAAGAGCAGTATAAGCATGTTCGTGCTGACATGCATTCACATCAGCACCCTGTAAGAAATAAACAAACATGACAAACATTGATTAGACAGGTCTTTTAGACGTCATTTTATAAATACGATTAAAATAACTTCAAAAATAAGAGGCAACCATATAAATGTCATTCAAATAATATGCCTAAATTTATAACAGGCTAATTGTGAATTTCGAACGTAACTTTGTTAATATTAAAATATTGGAACATAACCTACTTGGTCGAGAAGCAGCTGCACGATTTCCTTGTTGCCCTTGTAACAGGCATGCTGCAGCGGGCTCATGCCGTTCTCGTCGACAAAATCCATTTTAATTTTCTCTTGCGCCAACAATGTTTTGAGCTCGCACACTTCATTCTTGCTGATTCTCTCAAAAACCTCCTTCTGAAACTCCGTGAGATCCTCCGTAGCGGGCGCCATATTGCTATATTATGTCGCCCCATGTCACTCATAGAGCTTGCTAGATTTTGCTAGAATATTTATCGACCAATCCGAAGTTATCCGTTGAACACTGTAAAATTGATACTTTTTTTAACAATGCTCATAAGTTTCATCAAATTTTGAGCGAATCTGCGATTTTGAATGTGTTATTCAAATAAATATTGATCGGAATTGCTGTATATTTATTTTTGATAAGAAATATCCAGATAAAAATCTCAAGTCTCTCTTAGCGGCCGTAGACAATTATGAAGTTAGTCGCAATATTCTGCTTTACGAGTGAAGTACATGCGCGATAAAAAATATTCGAATAAAATTTATAAAAAAATATTCGAACAAACTTAACAAAAATAATATTAAAATATTTCTGATAGATCTTTAAGAGTTCATGTATTATATCAATTTAAAGTGACGATATTGGCTGCTAATAATTACTTAATAATTTTTCTAAAGAATATTTATAATAAACAATAGGATTTTTCTTTTTGTCTAAATTTTTAGATTAATTTGAAGAGTTTAAATCTTTCAAATATAAAATTTATAAAAATAGAAAAAAAGAATGAAATACTTGTTTATTTTTTTTTCGCGCTGCGGAAACAATCTGCGACAGTGAATTAACAAAAGTGATATCACGAGCAGTCTTAATTAGCGACAATTCTTAGTTACAAGATAATTTCACTTCACGCTTAACACGCGACTTGACGACTTATGCGATTATACTATTGAAGCGGCTTCTTTTACTTCTTCGCGAGAATTGAGTAAACATGGCGTAGGTGTTTAAAGTGTCATAAGTTTCGTTCGTCACACTTTCGACGGAAACGCGCTCATTACGACGAGCAAACGTACGATAAGAAACATAAGTGAAATTTAAGATGGTGAATATTACATAACTTATATCATAAGACACAAAAGAATTAAAAGAAATCGATAAAAACTCAATTTTCTCGATCTTTATAAACTTCATTTATAATTTTTAAATATTTTATTTGTTTTAATTCGGATCAGAGAAATATAATCAAGAATATTATCATTTTTAGGACTTAAGATATATTAAAGTAAGTAAATAAATTTTTTATGTTTTTCACATTTTTTTGACATTTCCTAATTTTATTCAACGCAGAAGCTTTAAAACTTCTTTTGGAAATAAAATGTTAGATCTATTACGTGCACTTTTTTGACATGATCCATCTTTTTCCGCGGGATATACTCAAAAATGCTTCACTAATTCCATTAGATTTGTAAATATTACAGTTTAAATATATCACTGTTTTTTATATCTGCTAAAAAATTGTCTGTCATATGTAAAGTTTGTAGCAGCAATGTATGCAAAAAATTTAAATTTAGTGACCAAATCACGCAGTCACTTTTATTAGGAATGTAATTCTGATTGGACGTCACTGGAAAGACTTTTTTTGTTAAATTTGACAAATTGCTCAGATATAAATTCTGTCTCTGTCTATATCGATTAACATATAGAAAGGATATTGTAATGCTCGGTAATAATTTATCCATTTTAGTTAATTTTTCGTAGACATAAGATAATTTTTACTATGACTGCAAGGTTTCATTTCTCTTAGTGGGAGGTCGTAGTGCAAAATAAGCTAATGCCGTTTCTTTAGAGAACGAAATTTTTTATTCGACAAAATCATCCTTACATGCGTAAACGCTACGTCGCGCTGCGGGTCAGCGCTAATCGGGGTCGGGGGTTGTTCCAAAGCCGCGGCTGTAACACTCCTCGACAGGATGCGACACGTAGCGGGGAAAAACGAAGCGCACGTGTCAAGATCAGTTTTGCACCGCTCGATTTTCGAAAGGGTTACGCGTGAGTTTTCGGCAAGCTACAGTCGAGTAACGGTATTCTGCAAAAAAGACATACACAGGTGAGACGATCGCGTCGAGTCGAGACGACGACGCGCGCGACTTCGTCATCATCAGATCGACCATTCCACCACTTCCTCCACGTATCGTTTCGTCATTGCATGGCAAATCGTAATAAACTCAGGTCTGTAAACATGCGGTAATTAACGTAACGTAATATGTCTCTTATTTTATTATACAATGCCCTGCTGAACTCAGCCATGGCCATCGTCTACTGTGGGCGAACAAAGTTATTATTCGACGCCATATTGAAAATATAACGACGTTAATAATAATCCAGAATATAACAAATCTAAAGAAAAAGAAATATCTCATATCTATCATTCGGTAAAAAATTTCCCATATATAATTATGTCCATATATAAAAATATATTATTATTATTATGATTATATATAATTATATATTTTTATATATGACGCCTTATATATAATTATATATAATAAAATCTTATTATATCTAATTATATATAATCATAACTAATTATATGTGGAAAACTTTTTATCGGACACTTACAAATGACAACAAAATAACAACAAATCTATTAATTTTCATATTAACTAATAGCAATATTAATGCAGTGGTTATAAAAATAAAAAATTTGATATATTTGTTAGTGCAGTGTTTATTAATCATCATCGATGCGAACAAATCGAGAAAAAACACAAGTTAGAGGATGCGGTGTGACGTAATCCAAAGCGGTGCAAAACTTTTCTGTGAGTTGTGCGGTAATAAGCGTCGGCGGATGCCCGCCCAATATGGCTCTTGGACGGGCATAATCGCCCCAACCCTCGAGGGGATGGAAGGAGGGAGGAAGTTTTACCCGAATATAATCGACGATGTATTCCTTTTTTTTTTCTCTTTGCTCTCGCTAATTTTCTTGTCTCAGAGATAAAGACTCATTTAAATCGTTTAATCGAGTTAACAAGGCCCGAGCTGCTACCTATGGCTGCGGTGGCAACTCGGATGCGATGTGTATAAAATATATATATATATATATATATATGTATACTTTTATATTCTATATACATATATACGTGAGTTTACAGATACGTATACATCTCTGTATCTAAACAACGATCGCTAAATAAACTATATATATATAACTATATATATATATGTATGTTTCGCGCGAGCGCGACCACGCGCCCCTGCGCGCGAGGGATGAAGAGGGTTGGGGGGAGGAGGAGGAGATGTGCGGGAAACGCAGGTCGCGGCAGTCGCGCGCGACCGCAAGATTCTAACGACTTTCTATCACGACGATTTCGAAATGCTTAATTGCTATTAAGTCCTAATAATCCGGCTGCCTTTCGTCAGCCAGTTTCGCGAAACTACAATGTGAGACACGTAATTATTGTACCTATAAGTGTAATAGATCGTCAACCTTCGGCAGATCTCGACATGATCCTTTCGTCTTCCGACGAGACGAAGTCGCGATACTGCACGAGGCATGCAGGTATCCTTGGATATCCCGTAGAATAACGCAAATGTCTTCAGATTTCTGCAAGTGTGTCGTAGTGTCTAAGTATTTCGTTGCTGCGTAAGAGAGTTTCATCAAGAAACAAATCGCTACGCGAAATCCTAAAGGCGCTTGGCAGTGGGAAAAATAAACTCAGGAAGGAAATTAGCAGATCAAACAAAAGAATTAATAAATTAAATAATAAACAAAATTATTTTCCTAGTTTATTAAATAACAAATTAAGAAGAGAAATCAATAATACGATTAAAGAAATACAAATAAAAAAATTAATTGCTTTTATTACTTAATTTATATATATATATATATATATATATATATATATGTAGATACGCTTAGCGTAAGGGAATGTTATAAACATACAATTAAAACAATCTTAATTCTGAAATTTGCTAAGAAGTCGAAACAGGAGATTTATCCGTGATTGTTCATCTCGCGGAGAGGGGGGAGGGGGGAGGACGTTTACGTATCTGAGAACGTCCGTCGGATACCTGTATTGGTCAATTCTACTGGCACTGATTAATACTAGACAAATGACGATATGATTCTATCGCAATGAAGACGTTGCATTGCATGTGAACAAAGGGGAGATCACGCGCCAGGCGACATTATGAGAATTAGGAAACGATCTATCCGTCCCCATTACCGCGCGATAACGCATGACGTGAAAATAGATAGACAAATAGAATTACGAGCATACTGGCACACCATAGGGTTTGAATACTCGTTAAGTGTTATAATCTCAAATTACTGGAAATTGCGACTGATTTCTCCTCACGACGCGTTCATCCGCGAATTGAATCCCTCATTTAATCCCTCGCGGTTTCTACAATCAGAGATTTTTAATAAAAAAAAAAAAATCACTCAATATAATAATTCCTTACATATTATTGCTTTAAAAATCCAGTGATAAGTAAGGACAGTAAACTAATAGTCAAAGAAAAAAATTGTAAAATTTACATTAAATATTAAAAATTCGTATTAAATAATTAAATATTTTTGCCTAATAGATAATAATTGAATTAAATTCGATTGAGAGAAAAGTAAAATGTTTAACATATTAGTTCGTTCCATAATTCACCTATGAAAGATTAAAAACTTATAAAATAAATGTAACTATAATAAAATTCGATATATAATATTCAACGGAACGGACAAACGCGTCGTGTAAAGCCATTTTAAGTCAGTAATGTAAAATAATAGATTACTCTAAGATAGATGAAATAATAATTTCAATTTCTGAAGGATTTCCACATCAGAGAAATCGTATCGTATCGTATATCTTCAGATCTTTTTAATGGACGTAAGGAAATAATATTGATGACTAGAAAATTACAGCATGAGCGAACTCAGGTGCGATAGAAAATTGCGCCTATATAAAAAATGCGTTATTTAATGCTACGACGTTATTTGACACAGGACTGAGCGGGATATCGATGAAGCGTATTCACACCGGCAATAAGACCTAATAAATTGCTTAACATTTTACCGGTGATTATAATTTGCGTATAGTCCACACAGCATTTCCCGTCCAGGCTCACGCAGCCTGGAGGGCTGGTCAAACAGAAATATAATTCATCTAAATCATCCGTCTAAAACATCCGACGCCGATTAATCGCGATTTAACTCACGATTCCCTCCCACTCTCTATTTTATAGACAACGATGTGATCCAGAGGGAGGAATCGTCAGTCAGAATCGATTGATCGTAATCTTCTCCTTTTAGGAGATATCTCTTAATATTATAATCTCTGTTCTATAACATTTTTATATCTGAAGTAAATATATTTCACGCGGATACGTAATTCGCATTCTGAAATAAATATTATACAATATTATTAAACAACAAGATTCGTCTCAAAGGCGATACCGCGAAACAACTAGGAAAACCTTTTTACGGTGGAAAGGGGGGAGATTATTATCTTATTGAAGATAATAATTCTCGGTTCAAATTGTCTCGAAGCGAGTTCGTTAGTTATCGCGCTCCAGCAAAATACCGAGTCGATTTATTACAAAGGTCGAGACCATGCTAAATGAAACTTTCTGCGCGGTTCTCTTAGATTTAAAGCTGTCGTCCAAAGTAAGTAGGCTCGTGTAGATCTCGCTTGCGACAATATCTCATTCATGACCAAACACCATTCGTTAAATTGAAGCGTAAACATCAGTTGCTTGTTCGCCATGATGTCTCACCAATCTCATGCGTTTCTTTTACTCTGTAACGTGCGTTGTTATATTTACAATAGATGCGGGTTATCGCGCTACAGGAAGTCCGATTAGGCCCCTTTTCTAGGAAAAGCGAGGCTGACGACGATGTCCATCCTTTTCTTCAGATTTTTCGATGTATATATCATTCATATCGCAATAATGGTTTTCTTCGATAGAATAGACGAGGAGAGACTTTCGGTCCCGTTCTCATCGAGGGGGATGAAGAACAAAATGGAAATTTGAAAGAGTAGATCAACGTCGTCAGTCAAGCCGATATCTCCAAGAACTCAAGTAGAATGTGCTCGAGTGTCGTGTATCGATCCGTGAAAGAGATTGATCCTGGTCTGTTGGAATCGGTGGAATTCGTTACTTGATGTCGTAGGACCTTGCTCGGTATTCGTGCTCTAGCAAAGGTATACTTGGAACCGGGCACCGTGCAAAATCACAACCGCACTGTCCTAGACTGATTCGGGGGGCGGATCGTTCCCCTTGACACTCTCTCTAGATTGAATCATTACCTCCGTCTGTTCCTTAGTTAACTCGTGATCCTTGGTGATTTCGAAATCTTGTTCGGCCAGGAAACTTCGACGAATCGCGCCATTCGCCACCGACGACAGATCGTTTCTCTGATGCTGCGTGTCCCGCCATGGTGTCGTTAGGATCTTCAACCTCTGTTGGCACAAATTCACATTTGACGTTTGATTTTCTTATCTTGTTATTTTTTATTGAGAAAAATTGATTGCAACTTTTTTTTTAAAACAAAATTACAATTTTATATATATCTTTCAATTTTTTAATTAAATAAATTATCATACTAAAATCGAAATAAAGTGCTTACTTGAACAAAAGATCCGGATGTAATGCTGAGTTTGTAGATGGCCATGCCTGGGATCATGATAATAGAAGAACATGCGATCAGCCAACCTAATATATTTGCCCAGACCGGATAAACATAGTCCTCATACGATAATGGTTCATAGCCTATTAGACCGTAGACGATAATAAACTATAGATAAAAAATAAAAACAACAAATATAGTTTCTTTATCAAATTGTTAGATGTATAAACTTTTTATAAAATAATATATATTGAATATTTGCATAATTGTATAATTTTTACGCGTACTATTTCTCCGTATTATAACGTACCATAAGAAAAAGTGGTGCTACGAATTTCCAGCATACTCGCCAATAGATACCGGGCTTGAATCCGATCATATCCTTGATGTCTGCGCAAAATCGGTCTGTTCCATAAATCCAACTGACCGCGATTGATTCTGCCAGAACGGCGAACAGCATCGAGTACCCGGCCGCGTATCGATCCAGCAAGTGGAAAAAGTAAAACCCGCCCTATATTGAAAGGCAATAATTTTCTATTTGTAATGTGAGACACATGCAAAAATAAAAAACTGTGTCGCATGAATCTAATACATATATCGCAATGCGAAAATATATAAAAAAATATTGACAATTTAAAACTTTAAAAGATACCAAAAGATATCTAAAAAAGATATCAAAGATCATAAATTTTTAAATAAATTAAAATGTGTAGTTACGTTTGTTTGGAAATATTTATCATATTAATAATTTTAACAATTGAAATGTTTACCTGTGAGCAAGAGGCAAGTCCAACCAGAAAATATAAGGTGAATAAGCACGCCACGAAAATCTCACGATTATTGCCGATCATTGGAAACTCGTCGCTAAGTGCCGTTATTATTGCTTCCGAACCTCCGAACTATAAAATATAATTATCATTAATAACTTCTTTAATCTTTTTCATCTAAATAATGATCATCATTTTCATTATTTAAAGAAAAATATAATAATGAAAAAGAATATTGTAATTATTAGTATAATCCCCAGTCGATTGTCCCCCATGTTATTGTCTAGTCTTTATTTCAAAATTCAGTTTTTAATTATTTAATGTTGTAAACACATTTAATGTTAAAAACACACCGAGCTATCTAAACCGAGCGTGAGCAACATCATGAAGAAGATGAGCGCCCAGAATATCGAGCCGGGCATTGTAGCGATGGCCGCCGGATAAACAATAAAGACTAGACCGGGCCCTTCGGTGGCGACGTCCTGAATGGATTTGCCGCTTGCACGCGCCATGTAACCAAGTACCGAAAATATGACGAATCCGGCGACAAAAGACGTTGCGCTGTTGATCAAACTGGTCAGCAGGGCATCTCTGTGGAAAATACATCAGACAGAAATGTATTTTCATACATCAGACAGAGATGCAAGGATCCGCGTAAGCGTGAAAAAAGACTTGTTCTTACTTGTAAACGTTGTTGTGATATTTATTGTAACTCGCATAAGCGAGCAATACTCCGAATCCTGGTCCTAGGGAGAAGAATACCTGTGTCGCCGCGTCCACCCATACCTGAAGAAAAAAGAAAAGAATAATTACGAAAGACTATTTCTATATTTTTAACGAAAACTGAGAGTAAGTATATATTTTATCATTATATAATATAAATTTTTCTTTTTGTAATACTTAAAAGAGAGTTTTTTTAAAAAGTAATAATCGTAAATTATTTGCTTTGCTATTTTCTTTGTATTTAATTCATCAGTATGAAATATATTTTATTAATATATTGATAATAATAATAATAATCAATCTCCATAAAATACTACTAAAATACTGTTAAAATATTTAAAAAATTCATGTAATTCAGAAACTATCAATATTATTTCTCATCTCTTTAATTTTTGTTCTGACAGCAGCACTAATCATATTTTTACCATAAAGTGACATAAATATATCTTTCTATAAGAAAAGACACATGAACGCTGTGCACCGCGAAAAATCGGAGAAGGGAGATGAAGGGGCAACTCGAAGTAGAAGAAAGAGGAAGCATCAGCTAATACATCAGTCTGATTCTTCTCGTATATCCACGGATTAGCGGTGATCAACAAATCCACTTTCTCACTGATATAAGACCCACTTTAGCGACGGCGGTAAGCGGCTAAGTCGCCATTATTGTCGTCGACGGAATGCATTCCGCGCGTGAAGCGCGCGAGGGTCGGCGGCGCGTTTCTAACGTTTTAGCGCGCGCTCTACCAAACTCTAATGTTCATTATGACAGCTACACAGAGTTTCCATTTTCATCGTCGTCAGTTAACCCTGCACGTTTCTCCATCCCCATTTTTCCCATACCTCGGCCATCATGCCCCCTCGGACAACCTCCCCTCAGCTCCCGCTTCCGCTCCCAACCCGCTCCCCACGATCCTGTAAACGCATTAACTCCCAAAGTTTTCTCCTTTTGTGATCGCCGCGGAAATACATCGTGCCTCATGGTAATCCAGATCATAATCCAGCGACAATAAAACAATTGCGAACATGGCCGACTTTTCTTTCCACGCACAATTTAAAAAAAAAAAAAAAAAAAAAGGAAAAAAAGCAAGCCCGTATTGTAGACGAAAAATTTTTCAGTGTCTCGTTATGAAAGAATAATGTTTTTTTTATTATAATATGCTTAAATAACGCCAGTATTTTATATTATTCTTATCATTAATCACAGTGAGTATTAAATATATAATTTATAAATTATGTCAAATCAATATTAATTATTTATTTATTTATTTTATTAATTAATTTTGGCTATCGATTTTATTTGAATTTATTTATTATAAGCTATTTTAACAAAATATTTCTGCGTTACGCATAAACAGAACGCCTAAACGCATAAAAATGGATTGAAAATTCTTTTCTGGAAAGTCACGCGAAATATTTCAAAAATTGCATGCAATATCAAAAACACGTACCTCTGCCTTTGTGATAACGCTGAAATTTGGACTGAGATAATAACGGATCCCCTCCATACTACCCGGTAAAGTGACACCTCTTATCAACAAAATTAGCAAAACTGCATAAGGGAAAAGAGCAGTGAACCAAACTACCTGCAATACAAAAAAATCGTTTATCCTAGTTGTATTTTGGTGATCCAAAATATTCTACACGTATATCATAGATAACGACTTTAGTAGAGCTCTGTTTTATAAATTTGGTGCTTTATCGTGGATCTTCGAGAGAAGATGGCTCGTGAAGATTCACTCGCCCGCCTGTCTCGAAATCTCTGACGAGGTATTCAGCTTACTTTGCCGGAAGTCGAGATGCCCTTCCACAGGGAGAAATAGCAGATCAGATAGACCACGAGCAAGCATAGCGCGATGTCCCACTTAATGGCACCAAGATCATGTAAACCCTCGCTTTCGTGCAGCTCCAGAATGGCGCGACTTAAGGGAAAAAAGTTGTGTAATTCGTAGAAAGAAAAAAAAATAAAACTTTAATATATCTAATGACGATGACATATTAATGTTAACATTTAATCAAGAATTCAAGAATTGCGATACAGAAATATTTGTTTAACGTTTCAAGATTTTCAGAGCTTATCATAATATATATATATATATTAATTATTTTTATATGTTGTTACTATATTTTTGTTTACCAAATAATAATAAAAAAAATAAATATTTTTAATATTAAAAATATTTTTATTTTAAGATTTTTGAAAAAATAAACTTCTAATTATTTACCAATGACAAATATTAATATTAAATAATCATGTAATCGTGTAATCAATTAAACAAATAAAAATTAAGACGAGACTTAACTCACTTACTTGAAATATTCATGCGCAGCGCTTGTGTACAATGTATGGTTGTCCGTTGCGCTCTGAACAGCAGTCGCATCCGATCCTCGATCGACCAGGAGTCGGGTGGAATTTCCAAAATTTTCGTTTAGCTCGTTGGTCACCACGTCCTCGAACGCGTACGAGACATTCGCGTCGAACTCACGGCACAGCGGCGTGTTCCAGTCATTGTCACATGTGGTCCACGGCAACATCATCGAGAATGAGGCGAAGAAATAGCGGAGTGACCAGGCGATGATAACGTTATAGTAGAAATCAACGTAAAACGCGATTAAAACCACCGCGTATCCGATACCTGATCAAGAACATTTCAATGTTTTGACAAACGATCCATCCACGGTAACAAAACTGTTCTTTTTAAAAAAAGTATTTAATTTCTGCATTTTCAGTATGGGAAAAATAAGAATTTGCGAAAATATCTGAAAATTGAATCAGATGTGAAAGTAATCTCATTGGACTATCCAATTACGTAAAATGCTTAAAAATAATGATAATATTATTAAAAACTTTTGGTTTCCTCGCAATCAATTTAAGTGTCCTACAAAATTATTTCGATAGTCCAACAAAATAACAAATCTGGCCAGGACACTTCAGTAAAACTGTTTCCATGAAGTATCCACGTAAAAATTTCAAATACATTGTCAGCAATTTTATCAAAAACGATTTAAATAATAAATTCGTTAACGTGAGATTATTATTATTATTATTATTAATCCTATTTAATAATCAATTAAAATGAATCGTAAGTGCTCAGTATAAAGGATTCACGCATTTATCGCAGAAATTTTATTGTTCAAAAATTTTCCAATATTTTTTTGGACAAACAAGATTTTATTTGTAGCTTTTCTTTCTAGCACAATCTAGTGTAGTAAGTTAATCTTACATTACAATCTAACATCTAACTAGTAAGTTAATCTTACATTACAATCTAACATTACTAAGTAGATCAACACGATAATCACAGGGGCGTGGAAGAAATCGAAACAACGCCGCAGAAATATACTAGAAACGCGCCGTCCTTCCCGCGACGGTATATTGTTTCTTTCTCGCGCAAACGTTTCTCCCATGCAAACGACATGTGCGAGTGACCTTCTCTTCCTTCCACAGATGAGTTCGCACAATACGACGTACGTATCGTTCGACGTACGCCGTGCGACGCAGAATCGCGGCGACGGAGGATCTCACGCGCTCGCGATCGATCATCGCGGCGATCAGCGGCGATGGCGGAAGGGCGGCGGGACGGGGGAAGGCTGAAATTGTGGCTGTGGAAATGAAGGTGGAAATCGGCGGAAATGGAGGCTCTTTACGCGACGAGCGCCGATCGCGTATCCCCTCTCGCATCCCGCTGTGATTCTCTCGGAAATACGCGTCACGTAAAGTAAGCGCGGTCACATGAGAGATCTCTCCACGAAAGAAATCCAGAAAGATTCACCGCGAAGATATTGTATATGATTATGGGGTTACATACGTTTGTTACCTTTTACTTTGGATAAGTATTGCGCTAACTTCATTCCGCCTCGCGGCGAGATGATAGTTGGACGGGTGGTTTCTGTCGCGGCGTACGCCGAGATCGCCCTCGCGAGTCTAGCGATTCAAAAAAAGAGAAAAAATCGCGAGGTTGGATAGAAGGACGACCAGCTTGGAATATTAATATCCTATTCGGTCTGGCGATCGGGGAGAAAAGAAAGAAGAATAGAATATAATGAGAGTAAAGAGGGCAATTTCGGATGTAAAGCTTCTGAAAAGATTTTTTTCGAATGTGAGTGATATATATATATATATATATATATATATATATATATATATATA